GCTGATTGTCTCTCACTCTGTCAAGTTTCCAGTGGTTTTGTTCTGCGCGCTGCGTCGAAGTATGTGATCGTAGACGCATTGGGCTCAGGATTGCCGGTGTAATGGTTTTCAACTTCTGAGAGAACAGGCGCGCACACCGTCAGGACTCTTTGTGACCGAACTGAGAAAACGCAGCTAGACACAAGCAAGGGCCCAGTAGACAGCTTGTCAACAGTTGAAACGTGATAGGTGCACGCAGCGTCTTCATTGGCCGCTGACTGCAGGAATCCCCAGCAGCCTCAACTATTGTAGTCAAGCTAGTGGTGAGTGATCGGGGTTTATGAAATAGGCAGGCGCGCTCTTGCAGCAGGCCAGAGCCTATGCATCACACAAATATTTTCTCTTGTTTCTGTGTATGTGCACTTGTGTGTCTGCACGCGCGCTTGTATCACTACAAACTACAGACGCCATCGACAACACACCAACACATTTACTGCGATAGCCTCCTCCTTCTGAGAGGTTTTCTCATGTTCACATACTTCTAGTCTTCACTGGATTGACGCTACCTTCGTCGGAGGTTTTGATACAACAAACTTGTAGGCTTGTGAAGTCTGGTTTTAGCCAACCATTGAAAATCATGGTTTAACTATTTAGCAAAAATGTTGCTGATTTATTTAGAGAGGGGGGAAGCACCTGGGAATCTATAGTGCTTCACATAGTGAAATAGATTAGGGTGCGGAAAGCAGTCTGAGACAAGTCCTGAGATATCCTGAGATGCCAGAGAGAGAGAGAGAGAGCAGGCAGACTCCGGTTGCAGGCGCCTTCCCAAGGTCGCCTGGAACCGCATCACGTATTCCCTTTTCGAGTCCGCACGAGAGAGAGAGAGAGAGGGGGAGCGAGGGAGCGGGGAGCCCTGAGACAGTTGCGACAGTCACTAAGTCGTTTAATTGAACGATGGTTTCTTTGCATGGCCCTGATGTATCCCAGCTTCCTGTCTCTCGGTGGCCCTATAAGTCCTCGGTCCTAGGTCCTAGCTAGTAAGTAGCTAGCAGCTAACTAGCTTATAGGCCCGCTCTAACTATTTGCAGTTTCCCTGCCCTGCTCTATGTCTCTCACTGTTGTGTTCCACTAATATTTCCCACCTGCTGATGGATTTGCTATTTTTTGCTATTTCCTCGAAAAATAGCAAAAAATTGCACATAGCAGAACATCCAAAATAGAGAAAACAAATAGCGACTCTGAAACCCTCACACAATAGAATAGAATAGGCAGGCAGCGGAGTGTGACCAGTGACTAGTGACTAGTTTACTGAACCGTGACTTGTTGACCCGACAAACATGGGTTGAACAATGGAGATAGGCTATATGGCATAACCGGGCATAACCATGAGCCCGAAGCACACCGCCTGCAATGGACGCTGGTTCTGAACCAGCGGATGACAGGGAGGAAGCAGCAGTTCATAATTACGTGGACTGAGGGCCAGCTGCCTCCTGCTTGGCTAAGACGTCCTCGAACCCAGACTTGGAAATGACAGTGCGTCTAGAGTCTAGTGACTAGTGACTACAGTGTAGTGGAGTCTAGAGTCTAGACTCTAGTGACGAAGCAGAAAATTCTTGCCAAGTTGCCACCAACAAACTCTCAGTTCAAACATCTTCAGCACACATATGAGGTTTACTAGACTTTTGATGGTGCTGTTTCTCTCTCTAATTCACTTAGCAGTTATTTTGCTAAAATAATCTTTTCATGTCTACCAGTGGTTCCCTGCGCACAGCTTCACAATTGTAGGCTTATTAAGGCTTATTACATCTGCAAAACTTATTTACCAAGCTGATTGAACCGCTTCAATGAGAAGCTGACCTAGACACCTGCAAAGCAAGTCGCTGAGAAACTCTTTCGCGACATCCATGCATTTTCTGGTCTCCATTCGGCCTCACCTGAGCAGGTCAAAACGCTCATTTCTCAGAGCGCCCGCTTCTCCCACATCTGCGCAGTTGCTAGCGATGGCCTCCACCCTAGTAGCGATGGCCTCCAACCTAGAAGCGATGGCGTCCACCCTAGTAGCGATATTTCAATTCGTTTCACCTCTCACAAGTTTATCATTTCGAGTCGACTAAGTTATCCCTTGAAGTTACGCACGGGATACGAGCAACACTCAATCAAAAAGAGTGGTAGGCTCAAACTGTTAAGTTTTATGATACGTTGCGATTATTCTTGCGCTCCTACATGCTTTCTTCGGCTGAGGTGCTGGAAGCGAGTTGGCAAAAGCCATCCCACCTCTGGGTGCAAACCCTCAAAGCCAAGGTCTGCCCAGTAGACGAGCTCCAAAGGACACGCTTGCCGATGAGAAGCAGCATGGCGACGCGGTATAGCAGGTTCTTTGGTACGACGACGAACAGAGCTGTTCAAAAGCATTTTCTGCGGTGGCGAAAAATCTGCCTGGTATACAAATCAAATGACGGTTATCCTACTGAAGAGTCACATTGTGAAATATCAGTTTGACTTTCGGCGGCTGTCTCTGTTCAAAGACCCAAACCCTATGCTTTTTGTGGTGAACCTCTCAGCCACATTGGAGCCCAGGAATCGCAAAAGCTTGCAGATAGTTTTAGATGTCTTGTCTGTAGAAGTCTTATCCTACTGTAGCCTGAGTAGGGGGCTGATCATCGGAAATTTATATATCAAGCAGCGTGCCTGTCTGGATGTGTATCGGCCAGATAATTTTTGGAAAATGACACGTTCACCCAACAGCTGGGCGGGAGTTCAATCCATGATCGTCAATCTAATAAATGTTTAGGGCAGAAAACGTGTGCTCAAGGGATCCGCTCACCCAATGAGAGGAACAACATACTTGCTTGCACGTAGAAAGCCCGCTCTCCCACTCAGGTGGAAAACGCACGCTCCGGGGGAGAAAGCCCGCTGAGGAGAAGAACGCCCACTCAGGGGGGAACGCCCGCTTAGGGGAAGAACGCCCGCTCAGGGGAGAAAACCCGCTCAGGGGAAGAACGCTCGCTCAGGAGAAAACCGCCCGCTCAGGGGAGAATGCCTCAGGGGAAGAACACCCGCTCAGGGGAGAACGCCCGCTCAGGGGAAGAACACCCGCTTAGGGGAAAACCGCCCGCGCAGGGGAGAACGCCCGCTCAGGGGAAGAACACCCGCTCAGGGGAGAACGCCCACTCAGGGGAAGAACACCCGCTCAGGGGAGAACGCCCGCTCAGGGGAAGAACACCCGCTTAGGGGAAAACCGCCCGCGCAGGGGAGAACGCCCGCTCAGGGGAGAACGCCCGCTCAGGGGAGAACGCCCGCTCAGGGGAAGACCGCCCGCTCAAGGGAGAACGCCCGCTCAAGGGGGAAAGCCCGCTCAGGGTAAGGACGCCCGCTTAGGGGAAGAACGCCCGCTCAGGGGGAGAACACCTGCTTAGGGAATAACATCCGCTCAGGAAAAACGTCTGCCTGAAGTAGAACGACAGCTCAACAAAAATAATCGGGCAGAAAAACTAAACGCCCCCCCCAAAAAAACCTGCATGATTTATTAAACAGATATGTTTGTCCTTGTAAACAAAAAAGTCTTTTTCCGGACATCCTGTGTCACATAAGACTTATAAATATTTAGCAATGCCGGAATCCTGTGGCAATAGAAATTGATAAATATTATAAATATTATACATATTTAACATGTCCGGGATCCCATGGAAATTAATTACATTCTATAAATATTTGGCATTCCCGGGGATCCGTAGCAATTGAATATATAGATATATTAAATATTTGGCATTCCCGGGATCCCGTAACAATTAAATTTATAAATATTATAAATATTTATAATATATATAATATTTATAAATTTAAAGGCCCGAAATTTCTAAATATTATAAATAATATAAATATTTGGCACTTCCAGGATCCCGTACCAATTAAATTTATAAATATTATAAATATTATCAATATTACAAATATTTGGCACTTCCAGGATCCTGTAACAATTAAATTTATAAATATTATGAATATTAATATTTATAAAAATTATAATATTTATAATATGTATGAATTTAATTGCCACAAGATCCTAAAAGTGCCAAATATTTATAATATGTATAATATTTATAAATTTGGAGGCCCGAAATTTATAAATATTATAAATATTTTAAATATTTAACATTTCCAGGATCCAATAACAATTAAATTTTAAATATTATAAATATCTATAAATTTCGAGCCTCCAAATTTATAAATATTATAAATGTTATAAATATTTATAACATTTATAATATTTATAATATTTATATATTTAATTACTACGGGATCCTAGAAATACCAAATATTTATAATATTTATAAATTTCGAGCCTCCAAATTTATAAATATTATAAATACTAATTACCACGGAATCCCGAGAATGCCAAATATTTATAATATTTATAAATTTCGGACCTCCAAATTTATAAATATTATAAATATTATAAATTTTATTATTATTTATAAAATTTATAATATTTATAATATTTATCACGAAATCCTAAAACTACCAAATATGTATAAAATTTATAATATTTATAAATTTCGGGTCTCCTAAAAAATATTATAAAGATTATAAATATTTTTAATTGCTACGGAATCCTAGAAGTAACAAATATTTATAATATTTATAATATTTATAAATTTTCTATAAATTTAATTGCCACGAAATCCTAAAAATAGCAAATATTTATAATATTTACAAATTTAATTATTACGAAATCCCGGAAATACCAAATATTTATTATATTTATAATGTTTATAAATTTCATTAAATTTTATAAACATTATAAATATTTTTAATTTTAAAATATTTATATTTATAATATTTATAAATTCAATTGCCACGGAATTCCGCAAATATAAATTACTTAAATAGTGTTTATATTTATAAATTTATTTAAATAATTTTTATATTTATAAATTTTGAATACCGAAATTTATAAAGAGAAGTATAAAAATAGTCTTCGATACATAGGGCGTGTTCTTCCCTCTTGCGGGTGGGGGGGGGGGGGGGGGGGGTTTGAATTGAGTGATCAATTATTAGATCCGGACGTCCCAACACTTGTTTCGCAAGACAAACTCAAGGTATCCCCTAAAGGGCTACCTTTCGTGATTAAGAAAAAATATTGTGAATGTTGTTGGACGCACCAACACAGAATCTTAAAATTTGCAATCAAGATCGTTCCTGATCGGCGTCAGTTGGTGGCGCTCCACCTGTTAAATTTAGCATCGGAAGGCAATTCCACAATAGCAAAGTGATAGTGCTCCACATCGTCAAGGATAGCAAGCTTCCATACACAGGTCCATATGGATGGTCAATCAGAAACCACACGATATATTCTTCCAAGGTGATTGCCCCACTGAACAGGACAGGTACAGGGACAAAAATCACCAGTGACAACAGCACATCAACCCACATCCTGCAATGTTGGGCTCGCAGAATGAAAGTAAGGTGACATAGAAACTTCATGATGCAAGGAAGAATTCCAAACACAATGGTCAATGCTCTGCTCAATTCAACCCAACGCGTCCACACGGTCCAGTCTCCAGAATGACTGGCGCTTACATCCATTTGCAACCAGATCCAAGGAATCACTGCCTGCACCATTCGATCGTATGAAAAGGCTGCATTTGCAAGTTGCTGCGCCAAAGTCACCTTCAGTCAGTGCCCAAACCCTGACCCACCCCTGCTGAGAAGAAAGAATATTGCACGATACAGCAAGGCCTTAGGTTTATGTTGTTTGGCAAATAGAAAGCAAAAAGAGGCGATGTGGAAAAGCGATGGGAGAAACACAGACAATTTCTTGCCAAAAGCAAAGCAGGAATAAAGCAAAAAAGTGTGTGTGTGTGTGTGCGTGTATATATATATATATATATGTATGTGTATACTGAGCCACAGTACAAAGAATTATATACTCCCAGAAGCGAACACAGAAAGAACAAAGGTGTGCAACCAAGACACAGCTTGAAGGACAAATGCAGAACAGCTTCCCGTGAAGAACTTACAACATCTTAAAACAACAATACGTATGATTAAACCTCTATATCGTATCAAGTTCTTACGCTGGTGCTTGCGCGTTGCTTACGCAACCACAGTTTTAGCTTACGCGAGGCCTTGGTTAACAAAAGTCTTACGCAAAGCTTACGCCATGACACAATTGTGATTCCGAAAGGTTCCCCAAAAAAATTGATTACGCAGCGATACATGGTGTTCTTCATGTTCTTGTAAAGAACAGTACTTACGCAAACCTTACGCAACAAGTGTGTTCAACATGGAGCTTACGCAACCTTACGCAACACGATGTTGTCCTTACGCCACAGATTGATATGACATAGATACTTAACGGAGTGTCAAGGGAGGTTTTGGCTATTGCTCAGTTCAGCAAAGACAAATAATCACAAACCCAGCAGAAGCAGCGACGCATAGACAAGCAAGTCAAGCCAAAGGGCTAGCGAGCCATAGGGATGCGGCTTGAGGCAACGTACGAGGCACGGTGTATCTCCTGGTACCTTCGATCAATGACCTCTGATGACCTGGTACCTGCAGTCTTTCTTACTAGTAGCGTGGCACTTGTTTCTAATAGCAAACATTGTTTCTACTAGTAAGGCACCTGTTACTACTAGCGTTGGCCGTGTCTCTTTGGAACAGAACGGCTCTGAGCCTCGACATACAGTTGGCCTCGCGGCTGGTCATCGTTCGGTTTTTCGTTCGGGCCCAGCATTTGGGCCCTGATGATTCGGTGGCACCTCGGACAGTGCTTTTCGTTTCGTCCTTGCAAGGCCATGTGGATCATTTTTGTAGCACTTTTGTCGATTTTGTGTTGCCTTTGTCCAAAGTATACAGGAATCTTTTTGTGTTTGGTTATTGTTTGTGTGTATGTTTGCTATAATGGGTGCTGCTTTCGTCGTTTCTTTGTGACAAACAGATTTTCAAAATTAGATTGCCACTGCAGAAATAAATCTTCTGGTTTGATCAAACCCCACCTCCATCTCCGCTTGCACTCGATGTTCAAAGTGTTGGATGGATCCAAACCATGCGACGATACACCTTGCGATGATTTCCTTGTCGCAAAAGCCTTGTGGATGATCTCGCTCACAACAAACACATTTGGCCTCTTCAAAGCAGAAACTGGAAGCTTGTTGTCTCATGACATCGATGCTGCGCCAATATATTCGCAACATATGTGTCAAAAGAACACAGGATGGCACGGCGACAGAAATCCCAATCGTGGATTTGACCTCCACCATGTCTTCCCCCCAATGCGCTGCAATTACCATTGTCGCTAGAAGGCACCCGCACCCCAAGCACACAGCCCCTTGCAGGGGTGGGACAACTGTGAGCCTGGGCTTTGTACCTGAATGGCTGTGCAGGAAGGCGCCAAATTCAAAAACGCACCATAATCTTGTAGTGAAAGTTGCATCCCAAAGCACCAATAAAGACTTCGATCTCTTCAACATCGCACCCAAGCTGAGAAGACCAAGAGCCTTCAACCGGGCATCTTTTTGATTGATGCAAGCGATGTCAAGGAAGACACGCGCTTGCCGACAGCTGAGCAACATTGTCAAAACATAGGCTCCTGCTGCAGAAAAAGAACACCAACTGCAACGGTAAGGACCCTGAGTCCACTCAGGCAGAAGTTCCATGAGGAAAAGAACATAGGCCACCGCGGCACATAGTAGGCTCATCAAAGATGCTGGTATGGCATGTTTCAGAAAGAGCACATTCACCTGGTGGTCAAGTCAAGACGATCAATTGTTCCTACCAGTTGGATCGTTCTTGTGGGATCCCACTCAAGGAGCTGATAGCCGCTTGAAGCAACAGCTCCGTTAGACAAATAAGAAATCACATATATATATATATAATATGGGTAAACCTCACCTGCCAACATGAAATAAATTTCAAAAAAAATGGGACTCTGTGGCCTCTGCTTTCTTTCACGTATTGCAACCATTTGGAACAAAAAGTGGACGCAAACTTGACATCTTCATTTGTGGAGTGTGTGGCCTTACCGAAGGGATAGATTGGCAATCATCCCTTCCAAGACCTTTGTGGCCTGTCTCTTAGATCAAAACCTTCAGCAAACACCACAAGGAATGCATTGGGCATACTGTATACTCTTTTCAACGAATCCTCCCCAAGGACGAAGGACGAAGGATGCATCCCAGAGTTCTTAACTCGTTCATGTGTTTTTCACCGAGACACATATTTGCTCCATGCAGCGAGTCGCCAGCTGTGGGACCAGAACTCCTCTAAGGTGTCCACCGCTTCCGTGAAGCGGTACAACGTCCACAACTCTCCGCGCCACCAGTGCCACGGCGCCTGTCTCAAGAAGCGACTCACCCGCAGTCCGCGGAGGCTCTCGGGATCCAGTGCTGTCATGGCCGTGATGGCCGCAGCCACCCGGTCCACACCCGTTCGAAGCTCAACATCTGGTAGTGAGATCGATGAGATTGAAGCATCCAATTGGTCTAAAGATTCATCAAAGGCACCAAGCTTTGTAGGATGGTCAGGATGTTCAGGAGGAACCTTCCAATCCTCCACATCCATGTCACAAAGCCGCTCTATTGTCACGCTTTGAGACTCCGTCGTCACTCTCGTCACACGCTGTTCTAAATTCTAAAAACGCCATGTGGTCTCCGATCTTTGGTTGAAGGACGACGTTTTGTTGTGCGGGAGAGCTTGTTTGTTGTTGTCTGTTTACTTGTTTTTTGAGGTTGATCATTCTTAAAGCCTCTATGGTTTTGAGCAATCAAAGTCTGATCGTGTCTCCATGCCGCGAAGCCGTGCGAACTCTCAGGGATCTGTGGGTCCAACTTGAAGTTGCTTGCAAGCAGGTTATAAATCCTATCCAAAAACGAAGCAGTTTCAAAGCAGTTCTCAGCAAAAGCATGATGCAGCAAGGCAGCACGACCACAGGTGAGGACGACAGTTTTGACAAGAGCGCCGCTGATGTCGTGTGGTTGCCACCGGAGCTTCAGCTGGCTAGTCCATGTCGTCCAAACAGCCTGAACCTGGAGATGGAAGATATGCTTCTGCATGATCCCAAAGGGAGTATAATAGTTGAATTTACCAACGAATCTGATGTGAAACGCCTGTTGTTGAATTCTCCTCCAAATGGAGTTTGAATGCACGCAACTTCATGAAAAGCCCTCAAGCCTCCAGCCAAACCAAGCTCGCCCAAGAGCAAGGAGGCAGGCCCTGGCCTTAGAGTTGAGCAATCCTAATCCAGAACTCTGTTTTCTCTCCCCCCCGCCACTTAACTTAATTAAGTAGGCGCCTACTTAATTAAGTAAGGAACTGAGGTAGCTGGTACCTACATACAGGTAAGCTACTACATATGGACGCAGGACCCCCGCAGGGGAGCTTCCTTGAAGAAGCGCTCGCGCTATTCATTTGGTTCCTAGTTCCTAGCTGTTTAGGGAAACTTAACTACTAAGAATGGATCTGAACAATTCGGAGTGCCTGGAGTGCTGCATAAAAATTCAATATCTATATAATCTATTTAATCTAGTATGTCCTTGAAGACATGATGGATTCGGCTTGGACTTACTAGAGCATTTGCAAAATGTTGGTGTTAGTGGAAGTGGCAACCTGCTTACTCAACCTTCACACTTCGTCTAAAGGCCGTCTCCGGAGCTGGGTCAACCTACTCCAGTTGATGCTCAGAGCAGAAGGAGGCCAAAACCTGCAACGTGCTTTGGAGACTGCAACGTGGTCTTAAAAGATAAATATATATATATATATAGTAACGACTTTAACATGTTGCGAGAATCCGCTGCTCACAATGCAGGAGAGCAACATGCTCCATGGCATGCATGTCAAGCTCCAGCGCATCAGAGTCATGAACCTGCAGGTGGAACGGCTTGACCGATCACATTCCATTGAACCCACAACCGCAAGCAAGAATAGGCCACAGAAGCAAACCAAACACCCGCAGCCACATGAATACTAGACTCTAGACCATGTCCGCATCAGTTCCAAGATCAATAGAGTGACATAGAAATGATCTCAATGCCAACTGAAGGTGAACAGGCCAAGCCTTGACATGTCGGGAGCTCAGGGGCATTCCTGTCTTACCCGCAGCTGTGTCTGCCTGGAGTACTCTCAGGTGGGGCATTCAACCATATTCAATGTTTGGTTGCAGCTTGTGGCGGTTTCAATGTGCCAACAGTGGGTGGAGAGTGTTTCTCATGTCGGTCCAGCGTTGACGTCTCTAGTTCTAACAGGTTCTAACCGCCTCTGCGCTCTCGGCAGCCAGCTCCCCATCCAAGATGGTCTCTAGTTGGTCATCTAGCTCAGAAAAGTAATCCTCAACACGAGAGATGCAGTTCAATATTGTTCAATCAATTGCTTTGCTCAATGAATCAGGAAATGCGACCACGCCTAGGACCTAGGAAGGAGACATGTCAACTGCTACTGGCACAGGTGCAAACAAGACATTCTTTTTTGAAAATGTCTGAAGTCCTTCATCCTCTCACCTTCCTCAGCTTCATCATCACTGGCCTGAGGCTCATTCAAGACCGAGTGCACAGGAGGCACACCTCACCCTCTTTCTCATTCATTCTCCATACTTCCTCACCTCTTCGGGATCTTCTTCCATGCCAAGGACATCAAGCCCTTCAGCCTTGCGCAGTCGTGGGTTATAACGGTCATGACCCACCCATTCAGCTGTTCGGAGCAGAGATCTGGGGTTCGGGCTGGTTTTCACCACAAAAAGGCGATGCAAAGCGACTGATTTGAGGGACCGGGATCGTTGGGTCACGGTTGGGTCTCAAAAAAACCATTCTCTGCCTTGACGGGTCTGTTCATCTCCCACAACGAGCAGAGAAGCCAGAACAAACTGAGGTCCCAAGCTGAGCCCTCGGAATCCGTCTCGGAACCGCCTGGTCGATGTCACACGGGGGAACAGCCAACGATTGCCACGGCGAATGCGATCTTTGCATTCGCAACTTTATGTTTAGCCCACTCTGCCCCCCTACTACTTAATCAAGTAGGCGCCTACTTAATTCAGTAAGGGAGAAGTTTGCTCCTAGCTACTAGGACGCTGCTAGCTAGGACGCAGGATAGCTCACGTTCGCACTAATGATTAATTCAAAAATGCAAGCCTTTGGAACTATTAGTTCAATCTACGAACCAAATCATTAGTGCGAGGGTTTCTTCAAGGAAGGGCGGCGGGGGCAGTTTCCTTGAAGAAGAACGAGCTATCCTGCGTCCAGTAGTTAGCAGCTACTTAAGTTCCTAGCCATTCCTCCTGCCGTTAAAAAAATTGGGTCCACACAACTCGACTGAAAACTCAGAGCGATGAACGCAGTCCATTGCCGTCTCAGCATCCAGCTTTCGGAGCCCGGCCCTGTACTTGCCTGTGACGGTCCAACCCCCCCGCACAGTGGAGTGTGAAACGGTGATCACGGGCACAGAACAAGTTTTTGCGGCATTTGTTTTTCTTTCAGACATGTCGTGGTTTTTCTGAATCTGATCCGCATCTTTGCATGCTAGTAGGAAGGACGCGTTTTTCGGTGGAGGCCATCGCAAATAGCTTGGAGGCCATCGCTACTAGGAACAAGAAGCTACCAGTAGAGCATGATCATCCTCAGGCTTAGGGTGGCTAGGACCGACTTACTAGGGTCCCCAGCCGCGGCTCCGCGCGCTTTCTCGGCTTCCATACCATCAAGGCTGGAGGATCCTGGGTGAAACCGGGTGAACAACCGAAAATAACGCTCCGAACCCGTCCCGGCAGAAAACAGATCAATCAGAAGTGGAAACTGCCGGAGTCATCCACAATGCGCATCAACATTGGGCCAACGGGGGGGGTTAGCCCCGCCGGCAACATATATATACCCGATCCGTGGGAAGGGGGGGGTGGGGTCAGTTTCGTCCGTGCTACTACTCGCGTACATCGACTTTGACGTTGATTTGTCGACTCGGTGACCATTCGTTCGCTCAGTGACCATTCGTTCACTAGACTACTCGCTTTCCTTGGCTTACAGGACATGACGGGGTCGACGTTCGAAGTTTGTTTGTGTTTGTCGTTGGTTCTGTTGTTGCTTTTGGCCGGTTTGAGGTGCCTTTGGTGGTCTTTTTTACGGCAGACCCCTTTCTTTTGGATGCCCACATTGACGTTTGTACCCGTGCCTCGGATCCGGCTATCTCCTTTATTCAGGAGGTTTCTCTGCGCAAGAAGCCGGCAGTGCGATCTGGAAAAGCCGCCTCCAAAAAGCCAGCCTCCATGATCCACGCAGGCCGTTTCTTGTTGCTGAAGCATAGAACTAGTGGTCAGAAAGCAGCTCTGCCGTTGCAAAAACGGATCACCAAGAAAGGCGCACCAGGACCGTCTGAGAGCAAGGATGAAGTGTTACCACTCTTAAAAACGAAGCTCTGCAGCAGCAAACAGATCGTGGGCAGTGACGCTTCCAAGGGCCTTCAAGGTGATTACAAGGAGATGAACTTGACTGCCACCACAGCGCGTCACTCGCAGAGTGAGTACACGCCGACAGTGACTCTGAGCAAACGACACCTTCCAAAGAAGGCCCTGCATTGAAGCAAAGTAGCTCCAGCCGTTCCTCTTCCTCTGCAAGACCCATGTTGCTTGAGAGACAGAGCAAAGTTATGGTCGTTGGTGGAGACCAAGGTACAGAAAGCTTGGCAGCAGTGATCAAGAAATCACTGCGTAGAATGGGTCTTCTTGGCCGCTGCGATGCAAAGCTGCAACGACAGCACGTTGAAGGCCTCGCAGCGTTGTGGTTCAGCCAACATCCAGGGTTGGACTCAATGCTCGAGGCTGTCAGAATACATAAAGAAGCTGTGCAAGACACTTGTCCTCCAGCTCAAATGTACAGTGAGCTCAATTGGCTCAATTGGGAACAAGACTGATGTCTGGCGGCTGCAAAATGAGCCTTGGCAAGCTGTACACGGAGCAGGCGGGTGGGTTGGGTCCGTCAACACGCATTCAATTTATCGTCTTGCAACTCATGAGTTGCAAGACGATAAGTTGAGTGTCCGGAAAGCCACAAACCCCTATATATAGAACACAGGGTTTTTCACCCACGGTATGTTGCGTTCGGGGCCAACCCCCCCGTTTACCCAACATGTGGCATCGAGAAACTGAAACTGCAAAAATAGAGGCCATCCATCCTGTGCAGCACAGGCAAATGTCCAAGCATTCTATCATTCAGGTCTTGCACTTTGAACTGCCTGCCACATTTGTGGCTTCAAAAATTTCTGCCGTCTCAGATGGGGTCCTTTCAAGAGATCTGCGATCTTTGATCCCATCGCTGCAACCTCTTGTTGCAACCTGAGGAATGGCCACGCTCACGGTCTGCACAGATCCCCTTTGGTTGATTGTATCATCCTTTATTGCAAAGAACCAGGATGCCTAACGGTAGCCTAACAGTCTTTCGTCTCCACACTCTTTTTCCAATCAGGGTGGCAATCAAGGGTCGGCTCTGCACCAGCCACCCTCTCCACATGTCTTGCATGTGAAAACCTCCGTTCGACGCAGGATGTCTCTTCACATCTTCGGCCCTTTGGCACGACACCCGCGAACTACGTGGTCACTGCACAAACGAGCACCTAGTCACTATCGCAGCAATCCTTGGCGCATGCGCACTTGAGAAAAACCTTTGAACAGGGAACAAAGAGATTTGTGCACATCAGCTAAGGCTGTCAAGAGTCAGACTCGCACTGTTGTTGGCAAACCAAGTTCCAGAATTCCATCAATGCCCTCCGGCGGAGCGAAAGAAAAGTGAACAAGGAAGCAATGTGCCACCGATTCTGAACCCGAGCCGAGCCTTCCAGGGTGACAAGGAGGGTCAAAGCCACAACAGCGAAGCAGGCAGTAGACCAAGGACCAGGGGCTCAGAAGCATCAAATACACCTCAAGCACGGGATCTGGGAACTTCCAAATTACTTTAATGGTTTTAGAACATGTTCTTTGAGGACGCTCATGTTCTTCACACAAAGGCCTCCAGCCCAATTCGTGGTGTGAGCAACACATATGACCTTCAGGCTACAACTAAAGAGTTAGCTGGATATTCTGGACTCTAGTGAAGCTTTGTCCGCGCTGACTTGAACGGTCTCACATGCTTGATTGTAGGTGGTCAAGCATAGCAATATCAAAATCGGAGGCGCCCAAACCAAACCCACCAAATGTCTGGCCCTTGGAACAAGACTTCTTTTTGGCCTCTTAGTCATTGAGGCAGCGAAGCTTCTTCCTTCATGTCAACTTGTGCAGGCCAAGAGTCCAGCCACAAGAAGGGCCAGCAGATCCAGGCGAAGCCCAAGATCACGAGCATGAGGAGATTCAGAAGAGGAATGAAAATCCTCAGGTGGCGTGAGAAAATGCTCAGGGCGTCTGAAAAAAAGGAACTCCAATCTCGGACCGTCGCATCTTTGAGTGTCGAGCACTGCTCCAGTGTCCCCCATGTCATCCCATGTCCCCATTGATGTCCCAAAACAGCCAAAATCGGTGTGTTCCTGTCGTCCATCTTCGCCCCAAATCGATGTCGAGCTGCCGCAAGCAGCACATGAATGGTGTCAAGCAGTACGTGGGGCATCTCCCCAAGCTTTCCTCGCAGTCACGCACGACCAGTCGTTCTGCAAAACTATGGCATCTGACCGATTGACTGCTCGCATCATATGCTGCAAAACTGCCCAAAACTCTCTTTCCGCAAGGACAGCAGCAAGAAATTGTGGCCCATGAGAAAAAATCCTCGAGAACAAAAGGATCCTGCTGACAGGGGTGTCCTGCATCTGGAGCCCAGGACAACCACAAACATTCCAACTCGCAAAGTGGCGCTGCACCGCACCTGCACCTGCAGCAACGTTTGGGAGTGTTTCATACCAGAAAGGCACATCAAAGCCTAGCAGAGGTGGTAAAGAGAAGCAAAGAGAATGCATTTTGGAGGTGTGATGTCTTGTTCCAATTCCAATTACAGTCTACTTAATCTTTAGTTTAATCTTAGTTCTAATTATATTGAATTCTTGTTTCTAATAGCAAACCTTTTTCCTAGTAGTAAGGCCAGGAGCCCCTAGTAGCGTCCTTGCTCCTAGTAGCGATGTCAGGAGCCCCTAGTAGGGTCCTTGCATTTTGATTAGGGTTTGGTTCCATTCAAGACCTCACACCTCAAGTGAGGCCCTGTTGCAGACTTCTCGTCTCGGGTCCAATTTACATGGATGTCAGGTGTCCGTTTTGCCTGTAAGATGTCTTCCACAAAGCCAACAGAAGTGCTCTCCACAGTACGCACAGGTCATGTGGTTGCATCCTCCATCCTGCGTCAAAATTCCAGAGCCTCATGTCGAATCCAAGTAGAAATTGCCAAAACCTTTTAGACAATTGCAGTACACGATCAATTACAGTCAGTACTTTGTCTAAGACGAGACTTTCATCTATGAACTTCCTGGTGGTCCTTGATGATTTTCATGCTACAGCCGGGACAGTTGCGGCTCACATGCGCCAAATGCACATTGGCGCGAAGCTGTGACAAGCGTTGGGCCATGTCAAACTGCCAGCAAGACTGGCCTGCACACGAAGCAAGCTCCAACCACATGTTGACATACACATATACATATTACTTATACAATCATATACATATATATACATATGTATATGTATATATAATTATCAAGTCAGAAAAGCAAAAGAACTCCGCTCACAACACTTACTGGCTAGTTCCCAAATGACAGAACATTGGTAATGCCTGGATGCGCATTGGCATGCACGAAGCAAAAAACCAGGGAACCTTGGCCAAAGACAAGGCTTTTAGCGACCAGATTCAATTCAAGATTGAACACTTTCTCAAATGTGCGTAGCTCCGAATGCGCTGTGAATAAAAAGAAACTGCTCTGTGCTTCACTCATGCTCCACACATGCTTGACACATGCTTCACACGTGCTTCACGGTCTCTGTCTCCAAGAGACATTCTCCGCAGGTCAACACTGGGCTTCGTGAGCTTCCACCAAGAACTTGAGCTTGACATGAAGGACACTCCCTATAGGTCTCATCTTGACGCATCGTCCTGCACAAGCGACCCGTTTTGACCCATCGTAACCCTCTGGAGCCAGGGGACCCGTTTTGCATGAAAAAATGCGACCTGTCTGAGAAACCTGTGGCGTCTCTCCTGTGTGTTAGCTCTTCAGTCAAACAGGCATCAGCTATGTAGCGACTGATGCATCTGACCAGCACCAGCATCGGGATGCTTGTCGTCTCGTCCAACATATGGAATACCCAGCTATGGACCCAGCCTGAAGCGCTGCAACTGCTGCAAGGTCGCCTCACCACAGAGAGTTTGAACCTGCACAAGTTGCCATCTCTGCCGCATAGTTTTTTTCACAAATCCAAAAGTTGTTTACAATAAGTAGCTAGCAAAACGTGGCTTATCCATATTCTGCATGCATGCTCAATCCAGATCCGTTCTTCTGGAGGATGGCAATCTACAAAACAAAATTTTGAAATGGTGAGCATTTTCCACAACGTGCAGAGTCTGTGACTTTATGAGCACTGCCCAACACAAGACTGCAAGGATCTGATCTTGCAACAAGCAATGTGACGGACATGAGGTACATCACAGACAGTGACACCTACATATGTGGAGCCATAACAGAGTCCATGCATCTACGAAACTTACAAAACTGCTCGGCACAAGAACTTGAGCCTCGCTATCTTTGATCTCAATTGCGCAGCCGCTGTCCAGCCCTGTCATGGGCAGGTTAGTGGTTCCGACATGTTGAAACACAAGAAATGCTGCTCGCACAATCAGAGTGTCCACAATGCCAAGCATGGCAATCATTGACCCCTGCACAAACATCATCTGCGACAATGCTTGGCTCAGCAATCGCGTCCCACCTCTGGAAGGATGATCCACGGATGGCAAAAATGGGCAAAGCAGCCCAAACAGTGCTGCCTCTAAAAAGCTGGCGCTCTCTCCAAGAGATCGTCCATTCAGAAAGGGGTAGTGCAGCACGGGCTTTCCATCCACAAAATGGCTGAGTTCACAAAAAGCCTGCCTCATGATAGGACAACATATTTGGTCTTGCACGTTTGCCAGCGAATTGACTGCTCCAACTTCAACTCGCCTCGGGCAATCGCTTCTCCACATAGCCTTCAATCACAACACTCACGGGGCCGAGCACGGTTGCTGCTATCGTTGGCAGCTTGATCTCAAGATTGGCCGCCCCCTCATGATATTCACTTGCTTGGCCTGCAATATCATGTGCCCACTGAGAATGTTGTGGCCAGCTCTAGTAGGTTTAAGCTCACATTGTGCATGTAATGAAGTCCGGAGCCCACCTGTCAAACTTGTACCCAGATCAGTCAGACTTTTCCTGCCCATATATAATCTCTGCTATGGGTAGTTGCATCGCGGGTGAAAGTATTGCGAAGGACTTGCTCACACAAAGTAGCAGAGGCACAGAAATGTCTGAAAGCTCCAGTAGTGCTTGCAAACTATATCCTCCATGAATTCTGGACTACAAAAGGGTGACAAATTCCCATGAGCTTCGCACTTTGCAGGCAGTGGCTGCAAAAAATGTGTCCACAACTGGAGAGCTGGAAGCCATCCTCAGACCGGCGACTCTGGCGATGGAGGTCACTAATAGGACTGAAAAAGAGAGAGAGAGAGAGAGAAAATAGAAAAGAAAGAAATCAGAAAGAAACAAATATATATATATATATATATCTATATAAAGAAACAAACAAAGAAACAGAGTAAGAAAAAGAGAAAGAGAAAGGGAAAAAGTAGAGACTTGCAGCTGCATTGCATTGGTAGAACGTATACTGCAACTGCAAGTGGAAAAGGGGAACTCATGGCACGAGAATTTTAGTAAAACTTGCTCGGTCGTCAGCCTTTCACACCACCCGGGCTGTTCTGCAAACATTTGATACTTGACTCAACTGACAAATATTAGGCACGCAACCGATGCTGGGCAGTTGCCCAAGCAGATTTGGCAGTAGTAGGTCTCTCGCGATGTTAGCCGAGACCTTAGCGAGGCTTGAGGAGATTTGTTTCTGAATTTCCACAACTCAGCAAAGTCGATCTCCCTGTCTCTCTTTCCAGTTCTACAATGTATTCGGAAGGTGATGATTCCTCTTCGAAGGCACGGGGGACTGGGCAATTCTTGGTCAACAATCATCAAGCTCAAAAAGGTTCAAGTTTTGATATTAGGCTGTGTCACTGAGCCAAGGGACAGTACAGGCACTGAGGAAACAAAGCTCTCGACCTCAAGGCCTCCTGTGGAGGCGACCGATGCCAAGCACTTCTTTTTGGTTCGGGGTGTCTCCAGTCTCGTGGTTTTGTA